GTTCTAATCTTGCTGACTTAACGTAAATTCCCCATTTGTGCAGCTAAACATCCAACAAATTGAGTATAGTTCATAGGATAAATTTAATTATTTTTAGGTCTGTACATGGATATACTGATTGGTTACAGTAGTTAGGAATAATTTAATTGCAACAGAAAATTTGAATTAAAAACTTTTATTTACTTATCTTTCTTAAATTAAATTTCGAAAATCAAAACCGTTGTCCATTCGGCTGTAGCCATTTTAAGCCACTTTGAACCACACTCTTATTTAATTCACCTAAATTTAGTAGTCACAATCAGTAGACACAATATGAAATCAAATTTCTACAACTATATATTATGTCTTAATAAAACATATTCAAAAGTGGCTTTTCTAACTTATGTCGTTGTTATTGAAGATATTACCTTAAAATAAAATCAAATCAATTTTTCCTTTTTTCTTGAAATAAAGGGCTTGCTTCCCTCTCACGTCATCTGCCACAACTGGTTGCCCTAATAAATCGCATGATTCCAATCACTCCGCTTTTATTCACCTGAGGCAGCGGACTTTAAAGCCAATTGCCTGAAAAGTTCGGAGAAACTCAGTTGGTGGCTTAAGTAGAGCTGCAATCACATTGCCCTTCCCTCTCTGCGAATTTCTGTCGCATTTAATTAAAGTCTCCCGCAAAGTCCTGGCTGAGAAGAGTGTCATGGCAGCCAAGTGATCTTTGGGCGCTTTAAAAATTTAAAAGTGCGCAGAGTCCTTAAATTTTCAATGGCCTGGCTGTTGGCTGTTTGCTGTTGGCTGATGGCTGATGGCAAAAGGCAGATGGTGGCCACAATGGCAATGAGGAATGGCGCATTGCCGCTCTTCCACCGTACATAATTTAATTTGCTGACATAATACGCTGAGCATTAACAAAGTAATTACGGGCATTATGGCAACCGCATCGCCGGCGAATCCTCCGCCGCCAATCTGCAGTCCCGCTGCGATTTCCACGATTTCCACAATTTCCACAATATCCACGGTTACCATGGCACGCGGAATGGGGCACGGCCATTGTGGCTTCCACATCGCATACACTCGGCCACAAGTTGCTGTGTTCCCCAATTAACACAACGCTCTTCGCTCGCTGGCGAGGCAGACAGCTAATGATTCGACGGAGTTGTCAACTGGCGAGATAAGGTCGCAAATTGACAAAGGACCTTGGAGCCCTGCTGTGAAATGACCGAAAAGGATTCGCTATAAATCAGTCTGTTTGTATAATGAGTTGCCTGAACTTTCTCGAAATAGAAATAAATGTGTTAGCGAATTTCCCCCTCACGTAGTTTCTCAATTTAATACGAAAAGTTTTCTGCATTATGTAACTCATTTAAAAATTGAGATTTATGATTTAAAAATTGTTATATTTTTCAGAAAAATAACTTTAGTAGCATAAATGGAATTTAATTCAACTTAAAGCCTTCTGGAATTGACTTTATGCATTTTGTTAGAATAAAATTTCAAGAAAATTTTCTATCAAATTATTATCCTTAGCTAAAAAGTAGATACGGAATTCAAACAAATGTTTTCTTGTAAAGCTGATTCACAAGTCGTGTAAACAGATTAAAAATAAACTAAGTAAATTCTTTAGAATGCATTTAGGAATTTTAAGAAACAGTTCAGATTTATTTTGGTTTCCAGACTTAATTTATTCGAGCCTTTAAGCCATTTGCAGTGATTTAATTAGCCCCCGTCAGCTTGACATTTGACGGGTTGAATTTAAATTTAAAATAAATCTGGCGCAGGATTTGTTCTTTTCATTCGTTTATCTGGTGGTTCGCTTGTCGTCTGCCAAATGTAAATAAAAAATAAAACAAGAAAGGTCGCCGCAACATCTTTTAATGCCGAGCAAAACCAGGGCACATTGCCCGCGAGGATAAAACAGAATGGAATACAGAGTGTGCAGCTTTAACTGAAGAGTCGGCAGATTAAATTCCTCAAAATGTCAGCCAGGATAGAAAGCGAAAATGAGCGGATCGACCGTGTGCATAGGCATGAAATAAAATGAATTAAAATGCGAACTGTAAGTTGCGAAACGAATGAGCAAATGCCCTGCCTGCCGGCAGATTTCCGTTGTCAGTAGCGACTTTTGATTGTTTCCAGCCGGGTTTTTCCCCACTTTTTTGTGTGTTTTTTCTTTTTTTGCTGTACAAACAGGAGTAATCAAGTGCACGCACATCTGCTGTGTTTGGGAGTAAAGTGAAAGTTAAATATTTTTCTGGCCGCCCTCAGGCAACCTTTCCACACCCACAAATACACACACGCACTCCCGTGTCAAAGGAGTCGGCCAACAAGGCGTATACGCAACAAATCAAAAAAAGATAAAAATTACGTATACGCAGGGGTGGCCAGAAGATTGCATTTCTGCGGAATTCATTAATGTGCTATTTTGTTGCAGCTCTTATTCCGGATGAAATTAAAGCTCAACCCGAGGCGAAGGTGACACCAAATGTCACAGGATGCCCAAAGCAAATAGTTGGCTGCAGGAATTTCAAGTGGAGTCCTCGGGTTAGGAAAACACGCCAAAATGTCGCATGTGGGCAACCAGCCGCAAGCTGCGAGGAGTGGGCGTGGTTCATGCGCAGTGGCTGGCCATTTGGCAACTGCCAAAAGTCAAGCTCGGCCGAAAGCGAAGTGAGCCAGGTCCAAAGGACCAGTGAAACGAGGTGGCAAGGAAACGGTCGGATGTGAAACGCCCCAATGTTACGACCATATAGACGGGCTAAATGCTCCCACTTGCATAATGCGCCAAATCTCGTTGTTTATTTCTCGAGCTGGTCGTGAACTTTTTGAAATGGAGATTTACGGCCAAAGTTTAGGAAGCCGTGCCTCCTCCAAAAAGGGTCCTTGGCTCCAAGTCTTGGGAACTCTAATTGGCAACTGGCTGCCATGGACCGATGGTCAGCCAACCATTCAGCCTCTGACGGAAATCACCTGTTGATTTCACTGGCCGTCTGGCAGGGTCGTAATTAAAGAGCAAATGAAGTAAACCCAGGTCGAATCTGGTGAGGACAACTTTTGCCAGCCCCTTCGCAAAAGTTGGAGCTCTAATAAGTGGACAGCACTGAGCAGGGAATAAAACAAATTAATCCACTTTTCCGAAATTTGTCAAAGCCAAAAAAAAATGATGGGAGGGGAAAAGAGGTGAGGCGGTAAAACTTATCTGATTCAATGTGACAGGCCTAGTAAAACGATGACGAGCAAAACTTTGTCCTTGGAAGAGAGGCAGTAAATCAACCATCTGCTGATTTAGTCGCTTTTTATCTGCAAATAATATATAAACTATTATTCTTTACTTTTGTGAAACTTGTTTGAACAATAACGCAAACTACAGCTGAAAAGTATGCAATGAATAATACTCAAATTATAATTCTTCTGAACAGACAAATTTCTTACAAACATTTCAAATTTAAAAACGTAATAGAGAGAAGCCCACAACTTGGCCTTCATCTTAGTCAGATTCTATAAAAGTTAAAATGTAAAATTTAAATTAAATATTTACCACGTCTCATATTTCATATTATTCAATTCCTTTAGTCAATGATACGTAACTTTTAATATGAAATGTTAAATCAGTCAAAAAGAATCAGCAATAAGAACACTTGAACACTTGAAGGGCAGGACTTGAGATTTGTTTATTCAACGCTCAGTCAATAAATAAATTTCGGTCTCCGTCCATTCCATTGTGTCTGGCTTAACCTGAAGTAGCAGTTCCTGTCCATTTTCGCATTAAATTATGCAAGCTGAGAGTAAAGCAGAACGGTAAGCAAATCAGAACGTGATAAACAACAGAGGATAGACTTTGGCAAATATGACATTCTCAAATGGTACACGGAAAACCTTTTATTTTCTCCCATATTGTTTGTTAGTTAGCAAAGCTGTGAATTATTTACAGAAGGTCGAGGCGAATGGGCAAGAGGGGAAAATCGGGTCACTGTCAATGCAAAGCGGAGGAAAAGTTGGCGACAACAAGTTGCCGGGACAAGGATTATTACAAGGATTCAGCGAGAGCGTCGGGCGACAATGTATCCCACACTATGTCCTGGGTCCTCATGCTGACGGCATTCCCATTGTTGGCGCTAATGACACTTTTATAACTTTTTATAGATTTTCCACACATAATGTGAACTCTTGGGCCATTTATATCGGGCGAACAGCGACAACAATACTTTTTGTGCGCCAGCATAATAATATATATAGTATAAACGCCGACGACGTTTATTTCGCCTTTCCTTTCGAAACTTATTTGCGAGAATGTGCGGAAGAAGCTGCCGGATTTGCGGGGTGTGTGCCCGGTGTATCTGGCATCTAGCATCTAGTATCTAGTTCTCAGGAGTGGTTTGCCCCAAGGCGCACACGGCGCGTATACGCAACGTGACGCATACGAAACAGAAGCGAAGCAAACAGGCCGCAATATAATTTCGCAACAAATTTCAAATGCTGGGCATGAACAACTTTTAAACTTAAACCTTCCCACACTCTCACACCCACACACACATTCACGCAAACACACGGGTTTCCCGGTAGTGTGTGCCCCCATGGAAACCGTGATGCGTGGCAAGTTAAATTTATAGGCGGATAAATAGAAGCTGGTACGGGTAAATAAGCAAAATCAAAAGTAATCATGTTGATATTTGAACAACCCTCACCAATTATCCGTGGGTTTTTCAGGAGCGTGTTTTGGGTTGATTTGATTCGCATTAAAGCTGCTCGAGATTTGCCACAGTCCTCTCCCAAATCTTATTCATGACTGATCATTTTTACATTTATATACTGTTTACATTTTATACTCTATACCAGCTACTATCTACAAATAAGTACCGGTTATGCCTAGTTCAAATCTCAAGCTGAAGAAAAACAATGACGCAGCTTTAATTGTTTTGCTATCAGATAGTGAATGCTTGAGGGTATAAATACACCCCACGAAGCATAGGCATATCAGTTGAAATAGAGTAGTTCCCCTGCGAAAAGCAAAAATGTCGTATGAACCTGAGACACACTACAATGTAATCGACAAGATTTGGCGCTCTGAGAAAGAGAAACTTCCATTCAGTGAGGACTTGTCCATTGGAGAAATTATCTTTCAAGAGTTGAAGCTGCATTCAAAGGAGATAGCACAGGTGGGTTTTTAAGTCTCTGCCGGTTATTTACCAAATAACGTTGAACTTTAATTACAGATATCAGACTCGGAGAACACGATTCTTTTGCGGGAAGAGCTGTTGCAGAATGCTATTCGCATTGCAACCTTTATGCGCAACTTGCAACTGACTGAGTCGGATATAGTGGGCATTATAGCCAGGAATACCACCCATCTGTCAGCCGTCGCCTACGCATGTTTATTCAATGGCATCGCTCTTCACTCGCTTAACTCCACGTATTTACCGGAAATAATTGAAAAGTTGTTTCACATTACCAAGCCCCGGATTATCTTTTGCGATGGTGATGAGTTCGAAAAAGTTCGACAGGCCACTGCCAAGTTGGACGTTAAGATAGTGACAATGCGAAATTATCCAGTGGGTGCCCTCACCATTCAGGAGGTTCTGCAGACGCCGCCGGAAAGTGGATTCCGGCCCACTCGCCCGAAACTGGGAACCATCCACCCATTGACCATCCTCAGCACTTCCGGCACCACGGGAACTCCCAAGGCCGTCGTTGTTACCAACAGCCGCGCCGTTCTCAGCGGATTTAGGTAAACACAGTTGAATTTCAAGAAAGAAAGCCAGCTTCGGAGAAAAAAGGCTTATGTACTCCAATTTTTGTTATACCCTTGATGAATTTATAATTACCATCTGCAATGGTTTTAAATTTCAAATCAAGTGTAGTTTTTATGCTCATATGTGCAGAGGATATTATAATTACCATCTGTACGGGCTTAAGAGCATGAATTTATCAGATTTCAAATCAAATGTGTTAGCCATATTACAGAAAACTCATCCCTGCAGATGTTTACTATATTTTTATAATGTATTTGTATATTTGATATTATAAGTATGGTTATTATTTTACAGCAAACTCACCCCCGCAGATGTTCAATACGCAGCCAGTACTTTGGACTGGGCCTCGGGTTTACTAACACTGATTTCATCGGGAGTCTTTAGCACCACGCGCATTGTGTCCGAGGAACCCTTTAATCCCACAGAGGCCCTTCGCATAATCGAGAAGCACCAGGCCACATGGGTTCTCCAGTCCCCTGCGCAAGTGGCAGCGATTGTCAATTGCCCGGAGTTCGAGAATGCCAACCTGCAGAGTCTGCGATACTATTTGTATACCGGAGGACGTTGCACCACGGAAGTGCAAAGGAGGCTCGGCAGAAAGATCGACAGCAAGATGCTGCACTTTGGCTATGGCTTCTCGGAGTTGGGAGCCTTCTGCTGCGTGAACTGGCACTTCGATGACAAACCCAACTCGGTGGGTCGTCTCTGTCCTGGCTATGAGCTGAAGATCATCGACGACGAAGGTGTGAATCTGGGACCCAACCAGCAGGGTGAGGTGTGCATAAAACCGGAGAGCTTTTGGCCCGGATACTACGGAAACCCGGAAGCTACGGAGAAAGTGTACATAAACAACTGGATCCATAGCGGCGATCTGGGATACTGCGATGAAGATGGCTTCCTGTACATCGTTGAGCGAAAGAAGGACATGCTGAAGTACCAGAGCAACAAGTACTATCCTCACGAGTTGGAGGAACTCATCTCCCGAATGCCAGGAGTAGTCGAGGTCTGTGCCTTTGGCATTTGGAACGTGGAAAACGGCGACGAAGCAGCAGCCACAGTAGTTAGGAAGCCAAGTGTCCTGTTTAGCGAACAGGATGTGGTGGACTTTGTAGCTCAGAATGCGAACACCGACTTTCTGAGGTTGCACGCCGGCTGTCTAATAATTGACGATCTGAAGCGAAGTCCCAATGGAAAAACAAACCGAGCAGCCAACAAGGATCATTTTCTCCTTGTGAAAGGCATTCAGATTGCTACTTAGTCGGAACATCCTTTTATAACAATCTAAATCGATTTACTTGTTGCCTACTTCAACATTGTTGATTAACCGTATGATTAATCTTATCTTTTAGTAATAGAATTGAAGGTCTAAGTTTCTGTTTTTTATTCGATTTCTAATTGTTAAGTTTTGACTAACTGACCTTAAACATTGTTGATAGCAAGGTATCTATTTATTTAGGATTGTTATCCGTTAAGTCTGCGAATTATGTCGGTGTATTTTCTGTTTTTTTTTAGAAACATACTCCGTAATAATGGGCCTTAAAATGCCAGACAAACATTGTGCCATACAATAGAAATAAAATTAAATCCAACCACCAATAACTTTGTCTGTCTCAGCTGACCCAGAGATACTCTATTATCGGATGGGTTATAGTCACTTTTTAATCCTCTTACATCACTAACAGTCTATGCAATGTGCCTTTTATTCAGCTAGAGTATCTGGGAATTGAACTTTGAAAAGCTCTGTCTCTGTCTCTGTTTTCGCGCTCTAATCGGCGCACGTGTTTCCAACTGCTAACTTGTGGAAAAGATTATACAGCTCTCCTCTACAAAAGTTCACTGAGAAAAAAGATGAAATGTTTTTCACTTAAGAAAATTTCAAGGGGTATAAAAATTTAATGTTAATTTTATATTAATATATTAATACATTAAAATGAAACAAGAACGGAAGTTTGCTTTGGCGAGTCGAAAATGATATACCCTCGCCGTCATCACAAATGTCAAGCAAAATGCAAAAATTCTAAACAACATTGAAATATTGACTCTTTTTCTATTAATTTTTCCATATAATCACCGTTTGTTTCTATGACAGCTATATGGGCTTGACCGAAATAATACCAGGTGAACAGAATTTATGAGATGGTATTAAAAATAGTAAGATTCAAAATAAAACTTAGTCAAAACTAGCAATTCATTTTTTTTAGTGCACAAGGGTCATTTTAAACAGTGACATACATAGAGACTAACATCAGTTGGCGGCATTTGTAACTGGTTGGCTATTGTTCAAATTACAAGTTGCATTTTTGCCCGCCGTTTGCTCCTCCTTTTGACAATGCCAGGACCTGCTGGCAGTCCTTTTACTGCTCTTGGCACAGTTGCAGTGCCAATATCCTGGCATCATTGTTATTTCTGCAACCCGAACATGCGCCTGCTCGTTAGCTGAAAACTAGTCCCAGCGAACCTGTTTTTCTGTCGCCCAATGTCCTTGTTTTGGCCAGAAACTTTGACATTTGATCGACGCCATTAAAGGAGGGGTAGATTGGGGCAGTTCAGATTAAAGCTGTCCGCCGTCAATTGGTATCATTTGATTGTCTTTTGTCCGTCTTCTTTCCCCAGAGACCGGACAAAATGTCAGCAGTCCGGTTCCGGTTTCTATTCACTCTGTTTTATCGTACTTTTTCCACACCGATTTGCAGTCTAAACTTTCCTTTGGAGGCAAAGTCAAGTTCAAAAATTCCGCCCGGTATCCCATTTTATATAAACCGCAAACAGTTAGCCAACGATGAGTTGGAATTGATTCAATTAATTAACGCTCAATTAGGCACGCTGATTTCGCACTCCGTTGATTGTAAATAAATAAATGCATCTGCACGGCCAATAAATCTTTTATTCATATTGGCGCGAGTTCATAAATTCAGACAAATTGTTCGCACTCTCGGTAATTTATTATTTATTTATTCTGAATAAACTTAATTGGTCTGCAATTTTAATTTTGGCAGTTGGGGCGAGATTTTACTAGGGTAAATGGCAGGGAATTTACTGATTTAAATTGAATTTTTAAGTCGATATGAAAAGTAGGTTCGGATCTCTACAATTTACTATGAAATTATGTAGGGCATAAATTAACAGGAAATTAGCAAGCCACTTTAAGCCGGAGTACTTGGAAATTAAAGGCAAAGAATACAAAAGTTATTGGTTTTAATTAAATATCAAATTTCTGAGAACTAGTAAAATCAACCATGTCGTCAATTTAGATTTTTTTTCGTTTAGTATTCAGAATTGCGTAACGATTAACCTACACAAATGAATAAATTTAATAGAAAGTCATTTATCTTAAATTAGCTACCTAGAATGTATTGTATTAAACATTTTTTTAAACGCTACGGGTAAAGCGTAACATTCGTTTTCAATGAATTGCATTGCAACTATTTGTATTGTTGTTTTTACATATTTAGTTTCCGGTCGTACTTGGTACTAGAATCTCGTCGACTGGATTACTTAATCATTTTTGATTTATAGTAGAGTAAGGGAGAGAGAATAAACTGATCTATTGAAATGAATTCATTTTATTTGATGTGGTCTTTCGATTCTGTAAATTGCACTGATTAAATTGTACTCTTTTGGTGCAAACAACAACAAAAGATACACTTTTGTTTTTATAGACTACTAAATATGATTGACGTAATAAATTTTAATATTTATGAAACATTGTGTTTTTTTAGCGACACTACTAAATTCATAGCAGCACTGTAAATTCTGCTTTCTAGTCCAAAGTTGTTACCCAAGTGTATGTCAAGCAGAAAAAAACTTATGCCGATAAAAAAAACGCCGGCCAGCTTGCTTGTAATATTTATTAATATTTGAGTCTTTAGCAATCACCGCTCAATAACTGGATTGACTGGCCAGCTGGATCTACGTTTGCTATGTTATAAGAGAGGTTATCAACTGATCATATTGATCAGTTCTACTGCAATCTCTATATCGACAACATGTGGGCTTCGACTTTGCTGATTTCCTTGTCGGCATTGACTTTGAGTAAGTGAAACAAATATCTATATGGTACAAGGTTATTTTACGAATAAATTTCAGCCATTCAAGCTGCCTCAGTTAGCCAGGAGTGTGGAAAATTCAATGAGGAGCAGTACAAGAATAACCAAACAATTACAGAACCTAACGAGCATCCGTGGGTCGGAAGGATTGTAAGTAAGGAAAATTCAAAATTGGTCTGCGTTGGCATCCTCATCGATGCCCGACATGTGGTGACAGCTGCTCATTGTGTTAGTCATGACGATGATGGACCCTCTGGTGTTATTTTCGGAGACTCTGATTCCGGGAATACCAATCTTATCGAATCGATCACCGTTCACCCCGATTATTCACTCACAAAACGTGTAAACGATTTGGCCATAATCAAGTTGACAAAGGATGTGGAGTTTACAGACTTCGTTCAACCCATTTGCTTGCCTTCATCAGAGATTCCAAAAATTGGGCCGCCCAATTTCGATTTAATCGCAGCTGGATACGAAGGACCCTCTATAAAACGAATTTCAGAAGGACTCGAAAGATCGGAAAAGCGCTTTAAAGTGCCCTTTACTAGAACTGACAGCAATGAGTGCCACAAACTGCAGCCGCGCTTTTCACCGGAGTTGATTTGCGGTCAAGCCGAAAAGGATCCTCTTTCTGGAAGTGCCCTGGTGGAGGCTACTGGAAATCCCCGCAAATACCATCTTGTTGGAATTGCAGTTGTGGGCTTCGGATCAATTAACCAAGCTTACCATGGCTACCTAAACGTACGATCGTACTTAAATTGGATAAAGCAAGAACTCTCAAAGTAAAGAAGGCATCTTAACTTTTTGATGGTATACATTCATTTAAAAAAGTTATTTCTAACTTTAATTTGCAATTTAAATATTGCAAATCAGGAAATAAATGTTTTTATATACTTATTTCTTTAAAAAATATTTTAGATTTTTTAGTACATACATTTTTTTCTAATTATGTATTGTTTTGTTTGTCATCAATCTGTATTAAAGCCATTTTTATTGCACTTTAGTCGCTCGTTGACTGGATTCTCTAATCTTAAATAAATCGGCGCAAAAATCTATTTGTTGCTCAATGCGTAATTTTATTTTCCGAATAGGCATTTGAACTAAAGCAGAAATTATATTTACTGCGTTCTGTTTAATAAGATGTTTAAGATGTCTTTAGATTTCAAGTGAATCCAAAAGATACCTTAAATTATAAAGTAAATACATCGCTACTGTATTTTTTGTGCATATAAACAATAAATAAGAACCTTAAGTTGATTGACTGTGAAATATAATATGCTTTGTTGACAGAGCTGCGCATTTTTTTCTTATTTCGTTAATATTTGTTATGTTTATAAATTTACGAGTCTTTGGCAAACTCTGCTTAAGTACTGGATTCACTGGCCAATTCGATGTACGGCTGATGTTCTTACAAGAGAGGAAGAAAGCCTGACCATGCCTCAGTTGCACTGACAATTTGGAATTGATAAGATGTGGGCTCCGATTTTGCTGATTTTTCTGGCGGCTGTGGCTTTGAGTGAGAAAAAATATATTTTGTAAGGTTATTTTTTATGAAAACTATTGTATGTACACATATCAGCCATTCAAGCTGCCTCAGTTGGCCAAGTGTGTGGGAAATTCAATGAAGAACAGTTCAACAACAATCAATTAATAACTGAGCCGACGGAGCATCCGTGGATTGGACGCATTGTAAACACGAATAGAAATCCGAATTTGCTCTGCACTGGCGTCCTTGTTGATGCCCAACATGTGGTTACAGCTGGAAGTTGTGTTAGCCTAGACAACCCGTATAATGTTTCTGGTGTAATTTTCGGAGACTCGGATTCTGGAATCATCAATTCTGTCAGGTCGATCAGCATTCACCCTGACTTTTCAGTGGGAAAATTCGAAAATGACCTGGCCATAATCAAGTTAACCAAAGATGTGGAGTTTACGGACTTCGTTCAACCCATAGTTGTTGGATTCGATGGATTGGAAAAGCGGATTAAAATGGCCTTTAGTAAAAGTGAGAGCAACGAGTGCCATAAGCTAGTTTCCCATTTTGCAGAGGATCTTATCTGCGGTTACTCGGAAAGAAGTCTCATTTCCGGATCTGCTATGTTAAAAGTTTTTGGAAGCCCTCGGAAATTCCATCTAATGGGAATTTTGGTGGCCGGCATTAAAACTCAGGAAATAGACTACAACGGATATTTAAACATACGATCTTATCTAAGTTGGATCGAACAGAATATAAAACAATGAAAACCAGATCTAACTTTTTCACTAATACAGTCACAGTAACTAATAAGTTTACAAATTAAAAATTTAAACTCTCAAGGCAATCTGTTCTACTTTTTCTCCTAATATTACCTATTGTTAATAAATAAAAAATATTTTGTGGCACTAACAAAATCCTTTTTTGGTAGAAATCTATTTTAATAGTAAGCGGACGTTCGATCCGCTTCATTGTTTCCAACAAAATGTCTTAAAGCGAGAGAGGCATAATCTTAACGATATAATTATTACTATAAAAAAATTGTACCTACGCCAGAAAATCCCAAAGAGTTCCATCCAATTAAAATTACGTTTTCCAGCTTTGCAACTTAGAAACTAAATTTATCTAAGCACTCCATCCCACTTGGATTGAATCCAACAGAACACCTTAGAGTGAAGAAGTCCCCCAAACTTTTCTCATTAGTTACGAGATTTTTAATTTTTGGCTCCCAAGCTGTGAGTTTTGACAGCTTGATTTATAAATAAAGAAGCACATTCTCGCGCCAAGTTAGTGGTTATCCATTTTGGCCGCGTTTAGTTGCTGTTGCTAATAAATTGAAAACGCTTTTGGGTTATTTGCACAAAGTTGCCGGTTCCTGACCCAAACCCAAATGCATAAATCACGCGAAGCCCCCGGAAAACACAGTTGGGGTCTTTGCCATTGGGATGTCGCCTGCACGGAATTTAATTCCCGCCCACCTTCCGCATCCCTCACCTTTTTGGCCCTGGCAACTTTCGCCATTAGGCAGCCACCCACTTCTCGACCTTCGGAATGAAATCGGTAGTGCTACCGCCTTCTGTTTTCGGGGAAATGCACTTTTTCGACACTTGGCTGGCGCCAAAAACCTTAAGTACATATCAACTCGGAATAATTTATGTTTGCAGCTTGCAGTGGAGCAAGGAGCAACCTTATCGAGTGGCAGCCATGGAATATGGAAATTGGCGAGCAGCTGCAACCATAAATTCATTGAGGCGAAGTGCTCGCAATCGAGGCACTTGGCTGCTGGATTTACACTGCCAATGAATCATGCCTAATTGTCGTCAAAGTATGCATAAGTACTGATCGCAGTAGCCAAAGGACTCGGTGAAATCATCAACAAGCGTAACGCATACGCCCCGTAGCCCGAAATGATTAATGTGCCATAAAATGCTCGCGCCAAAAACATTCACAGCGTTTTCCTAAGCACGCGAATCGCGCACGCAAAACAAACGCAAAAAGCGAATCCAAATTAAAATACACATTTTTATGGCTCCTTTTTATTGCAACACGTAAAACACAAATTGAGACAAGATGGAGTGTAAGCCAATTGCGTGCGGCTGCTACAAGGAATTACAATTTTAAATGCAACGCACATAAAATGCACGGAATGTCTTTTTAAACGATAACGAGCTGCAATTAAGAGGAAATTAACTGAGTGTTTATCCGACTTTGTGGCCGAGCGGAATGCAATATGCTTTCATCCGCATGGCTGGAATTTGTCGCAATCTCTTTGACGTTTCTCGGAAGTAAGTGTTAATGTTTCCCGACCTTGGACATTATTCTGATAACTCTCTCTTTAGAGTCCATCTTGAACAGCAGTTCCAGGGAGTTCGGTGTTGTATAGCCAGTGGTTCAGTGGTTCACAAAGAATAACAGGAGAAGTTCAACTGACTGGTCAAGATCAGGTACACGGGATCCAACGATCGGATGACGTATCCTTGCTTAGGAATACTGGCCCTCTCGCACTTGCTGTTTCTGGAAAAGAAACTATGTCTATAGCTTCTTAGTTGGATATAAAAGATATGGCGGCAACAGAATCTTTATCCACCCAAAACATTATGATGCTAATATCGGGCAGGGCCGGCGGAAGGTGTATACCGGGTGTTGAGCACTCCACACGCCAAATCTTAGCGGGTGTGGAATTCAACACCCCAAAATGCTTGACTTGTAGAAAAAAATTTATTTACATTCATTATTATCAGTTGAATGTATGATTCAAAACTGTTTCTCCGGCCCTGCATATAGAGTATATCGAAGAAAAACGAAGAGAAATCCCGCCTTTACCACGGCCCAATTAAATCAGTTTCTATTTAAATAGATAGATAGTAACTCTTCCAAATACTTCCCAAGTTAAGCATTTTCCAACTTAATGTAAAAACTACTTAAAATTATGAGATTATCATAAATAAATCTTTTCAGATTGGTACTTACTCAGTTAGCTCCTTGATCTGCAATGCAATCTTTCGTCTTCTTGAAGTAAGATAATCACCGCAACCACTTTATTCGCAACATTAACACTTAACACTTTACCCTGAAATTAAATAAGAAAAAAAATAATAATAAATAATTTGTTACAAATAATAATAGTTAGAATTATTTTGTTAGTAAAAAAGGTATTTACCTCTTTGGGTTTTTTATTCACTGCATCTTGAAGTTCACTCCAAGCAGAACGGAATAGTCATCACTGTAATGAAAAGAAGCATTCCAAAATATTAGTTAAATTATTTTATACAAATCGGTTGTTTAAAAAATACATACCCCAATGAGGTGATGCACTGCATCCTGGAGTGGAGTTCAATAGAAGATCACGCCATTCATAATTGATCCTGCAGCCTGTTGTCCAGTCCATTTATGTGGTGTCAGCATACTATATATTTCCGGTAACCGCATTCTTACAACTATTACTATATATATACTACATATATTTATATTATATGTCGCTACTTGTTTACAATTATTAATTGTGTTTGATTTTCATGTACTTCAAGTTCAATATTTGATAAAATTTACCTTTCAAATTTCTTTCATGTTCTTGAAAACTTTCAGATCTTTATCTGTTTCTTTTAGTTTCTTTGTCAAAATATTTATGATTTTTTAAAATATATAACTTAATTATTTATTGTCTAAAGGATGTACTCACTGCGTAATAACTTTGGTGCAGTGCATCCTGATGTCGAACTTCAAGTTACAAGTTGGATGGTGTCACCAATTATTTTCTGCAATCAGCCAAATACACAACCAAAAACCTGAAAAAAAAAAATAAAAAAAATTGAATTAATTAACTGCATTTTTTTTACAAAAGCCACGTCATCACATAATTAAAAAAAACTGCAACTCACCTTTTCAGGTTTGGATGCCCTGCATCCTGGAGTCCACTACATGCAGGAAGGGATCGGGCACCTTTAAGTTCATGCCAAGTCAGGTCATGATGCAGTGCATCCTAGGAGGAGTCGACCCATGGTGCACTGCATCCGGGAGTGGACTCCAGTAGGTGGAGTCGACCCAAGATGCACTGCATCCGGGAGTGGACTCCAGTAGGAGGAGTTGGCCAGATACTCTCTCCCACTCTGGAACCACGTCACTAACACACACGCACACACACACACTTCCAGAGACCGGAAAAAGTTTCTTAGAGAAACTGCCGGTCATCCCGGAGAACTGAGAAATTGCCCAAAATCAAGGGGTATCCCACTACGAATCAGCCAGAACCACTTGGGAATTATAGGTGCGAGAAAACGAAAAAAATAATTAATTATCATTGTCGCTGACGTGGCCATATTAATTTTATTAACATTTAGTTAACATTACATTTACATTGTATTAAATTAACATTATTTTAACATTAAATTAACATTACATTAATATTAAATGGATTTTAATTAACATTTTACATTTAAAATAGTTTTTTTACCTGTTGCATTTTGATTGATTGGTGTTGTTGTTTTATTAAAATTTATACTTACCTATATTATGTCAACAGTGTTTCCCTCATCATGATTTGGAATGATTTTGAAACAAAAGGGGCGGGGGGGGGGTGGTATATTGAAAATTTGTGAGGTCATCACCCCACTCAAAACTGTTTCTCCGGCCCTGATATCGGGCTATTTCACACAACAATTATTAATGAAATACAATTTAATTTTTTAAATATTGCCATAATTTTATGTTGATTTTGTGAATTTAAATAAGGGCAGTCTGTTATAAAAAAAATATACGTAATTACTTATATTCATTCATATCATTGGTCCAAAATTTTTTGTTTTCATAAGAAATTCCAAAATATTACCAAATCTGCTTGTGCAAATTAAAATTAAAGTTTTATTCTTGTAAGTTAAATTAGTTTGTTGCTTGTCATTTTTTGCAGACGTATATTAATTTGTTTATAATTTTAAAAATAACTTATTATCAAACCGTTTCGGCAGCGCTGCCACATCGCATGACAATCGATATCATTGTACCTATCGATGTCTGACAGATATCGATGAATTAGCGCCGCATGCCTGTGACTGGCTTCAGGTAGCATCACTAAAGAAGAAGAATTTCCCTCCAAAAAAGTTGAGTTTATTTTGCCAATAGCGAGCCAAGAACTTTGTTTACCAACTGAGTGAACCAACTCAATGACAAAAATTCTAGACAACTTCCAACGGGCCGAGAAAATCGGCGAGGGTACCTACGGAATAGTTTATAAGGCGCGGAGCAACGCCACCGGGCAGGATGTGGCGCTCAAGAAGATCCGGCTGGAAGGGTGTGTAAACTGAAACAGTATGGGAATCAATACCCTTACACAGAGCATAATACCTGTTTAATGATATAGCCATATTAAGTCAGCCTCCTGGACGTGTCTTTGGCGAGTGTCATTCACCTGCACCCCGCAGCCCGGATTTTGTGGGAGCTGCGCTGTTTATACTCCAAAGTCCGTAGCACCACATGATTCGGCTTCGTGGCGCAGGACAGCATCGGCTGTAGCCATAAAGCCTACCCAATATTGGCTCCATTTATCATTCTTATTAAACACGTTTATCTCTTCGTCCAGCGAAACGGAGGGCGTTCCTTCAACGGCCATTCGAGAGATCTCCCTGCTGAAGAACCTCAAGCACAAAAATGTGGTGCAACTATTTGACGTGGTGATCTCCGGAAACAATCTGTACATGATATTCGAGTACCTGAACATGGATCTAAAAAAGCTGATGGACAAAAAGAAGGATGTTTTTACACCTCAGTTGATTAAGGTATCTGAACTTATACAATTTTGGTTTCTTGTTTACAACTTTGCTATCCTTTCAGAGCTATATGCATCAGATTTTAGATGCTCTTGGCTTTTGCCACACCAACCGAATACTGCACCGGGATCTCAAGCCACAGAACCTTCTCGTGGATACTGCAGGCAAAATTAAAGTGAGACAATAAAATTTCCAATTTGAATATGTGATAATAGCTTATAAACCTTTTTAGCTGGCTGACTTTGGTCTGGCTCGAGCCTTCAATGTGCCCATGAGGGCGTATACCCATGAAGTGGTCACCCTTTGGTACCGAGCTCCAGAGATTTTACTGGGCACCAAGTTCTACTCCACGGGCGTGGACATCTGGAGTCTGGGCTGCATTTTCTGCGAGATGGTAGGGCTTTTAGAAACTGTACAACCACTTTTCCTAAGCTGTTTCAATTCACAGATCATGCGACGCTCCTTGTTTCCCGGAGACAGCGAAATCGACCAGCTTTACAGGATATTCCGCACCTTAAGCACACCCGATGAAACCAAATGGCCGGGAGTAACGCAGCTGCCGGACTTTAAAGCAAAGTTTCCCAGGTGGGAGGCCACCAACATGCCGCAGACCATAACCGAACACGAGGCCCATGAACTTATAATGGTGGGTAAAGTAAAATTGAGTTGGGAGCTGTAATATATAGCTCTGTTTGTTACAGTCCATGCTGTGTTACGATCCCAATCAGCGAATCTCCGCCAAGGACGCTATGCAGCACGCCTACTTCCGCAACGTTCAGCATGTTGACCATGTGGCCCTGCCCGTGGATCCCCTGGCAGGCAGTGCCTCGCGCCTCACGCGGCTCGTCTGATCGTGACCCATAGCCCCAGATCTAGCAAATTACTTGTGATCTTTAGTATAGTAAGTCCAATGTCTACCTCACTATGTTTAGGTCAAATCTAGTGCAATTATATGATTCGGATATCAAATTTCTCTTGCAGCTGCCAGCTCCATTTCATCCATTCCCCACCTAATCCACACCTAACACAAACGATAAATACACGATCATCATCCATACGTAAAGAGTTTATTCAAGATAGTTTAGGAAGAATCACCAGGCGTCCAACCGAAAGACGCGTCGCTGTTGATTGCGCGGCGAGACTTGGGCGTCGGAATCATGGGCTCCTGCTCCATCGCTCGCCAACATCTGCCGCCGGCGGGTGTGGCGATCATCGCGCATGTACGTGCCCAGAGTATTGCGCATGCTCTCGGAGAGCGACGAGTTGGGTTCGATATCAGCGTCGTCTTCTTCATCGTCAGCCGGTGCATTGCTCGGCGCGTTGCTCTCAGTTTCGTCGTCCGTTTGTTCGTTCTCATTGAACTTCTCCGGCTTGCTTACTTCAACCAACTTCGCAGGCACTTGGCTCTTGATCGAAGACAAGGGCAGAGGGCGCAGCAAAGCCACCTTCCTTGAACTGAGTCTCCTCACCACTGGTGCCTCCTCCTCCGGCTCGCTTTCTACTTCCTCTTGCTCATTCTGCTGGGCATTGAAGTTGTAGAAATTAGCTTGGAAATCCTGCGGGCTGAAGCGCTGTACCCCATAGTAGCTGCCGGAATGGGTGTCGTAGAAGAACATAGGTTGTGCGTGTGGCGGCGGAGGAGGTGGCACAAAGTAGGGATCATAAGGTGCGTAGGCATCGTCGTTCTCCTCCGATTCGTAGGCGGGTCGTCGTTTCTGCTGCTTGCGACGCTTTCGCTTCCGTTTGTTGGAATTCGGCGAAGCCACTGGATTCGGTTCATCGAGCTGTTGCTCTTGCTCATCGTATGACTGCAGGTATACGGGCGAACTCTCAATTATGTTGGAACTGCCGTCGTTGAAGAAATTGGCCAGTGGATTGGTCAGATTGCGAAAACTGAAGGAGGGCTGAACACTGCGAACGAAGCTATTCCAATAGCGGATGAATGGACGCTCGGTGGTGGTTGTAGGAGCTGCCTTGCCCAGACTGTTTACATAACGCCTCCTGTAACCACCTCGAGCACTCGGCAGCAGGACATATTCAATAGGATAGTTTCTGGAACTGAAATGAGGATAAATACTTTACTTAGAAAATGAGAAATTGGAAATTAAATGAAAATCAGGAGTAACAGGATTCATATTTTATGGTATTTTTACGTTTAGTTTTGACACCGTTTTAAAGTTAATTTATTCTTATACAAAAGTTTACTTTAAGTTGACATTTATTTTACTATAACCTTTCAGTCGAATAAAGAAAAAATAAATTCCGTTAAAATGTAACTTTAAGTATAAATCCCGTTTAGATATTTCATAGTAGAATCACAGTCACAATTCATCCGAATCCTTTTCGCCTCCAATGCGCAACGTTTCCTCACCCAATCTTAGCCTGCTTTTGTGGCCAGCGTTGCTCGGCTTCTAGAGCGGATATCCTTATGGCTTGTGCAGGATAACCCAATGCCACAAACAGCAAAAAGGCCGTAAAAAATAGCCACTGCATAGCTGGATATTATGGTGTCCTTTGGTTATCAATATATTTCGAATGCGTCCGAAGCCGTTCCCGGTTGAATGGAAACTAAATCTTATCCGATTCGCGACCTTAGTTGTCAACAGTTGTCACTGCCTTTGTTTTGTCGCCCGGCGCATCTCATTAGAATAGTTTTTATTGAACCAGCGAACGGTTGGCCAAACTCTTAGCCAAATTGATTTGTAATGGCATTGTCCCAAGCCCAAATGCAAATCCAAAGGTGGCCGTGTTGGTGGCACTAACTCAATCCGGCACTAAAGCAACTAACCCAATTCGGATTCGGAGACCATCTTCATTTAGCTCTCCCGCGGGGCTCGTTGGCAGCTGCCAATCTCGCCCATACATATGCAAATGGGTTTTTATGGATTACACAATTAATACACCATTCAGTGCTGTTGGCTACGGCTGAGAAACTTGTTTGCTTGTGGGTTCTAATTTCGAAAATATGCAAAGCTGTCTGGGATGAGTCGTCGGTTTGCGAAATGCTTTCTCCTGACGTATTTGTGTTTATGTGGGCTTCTCCTTATCAAGATTTTACGATGTGCCTTGGCATATGGAGTATTAATGGGTGCATTTTCTCGGCAGCTTCGAGTCTTAATGCCATAATAACAAAGCTGAATGCGATGTTTGCTCTAAATGGACACATTAGATGGATTTGCTTCGCCAATTTGGCAATCTTTATTGCAAATGAAATCAGAGCGCTCTAGAAATTGAGATGATTTGTATTCGTCAATAGCGAAGTCGTGGGAATAAAATGATACGCTTTCTAAATACGGATTATGTCTGCGTTAAAATAAAATCTAGGCTAAGTAGTTTAGTGAAACTAGTTATAGTATTTCTTATAAACCATTTTTAGAGAAATGTCTCAGTGTTATTTTTTGGCCACTATAATATCTGTAGATAAGATTAAATCAAACAGTCTATCTATTTTATATTCTGGAAATTAAATATATATGCTGACTCTTGACCCAAAAAATTAAAAAAGCAAAGAACAGTATGACAAATTATTTACCTGCATCTAGAATACCATATTATGGCCACCACCTTTCGATTTCATGAGTGAAATTGCCATTTAAGAGCGGTTTTATTGACTTGCAATAACTTATTTTGTGGCCGCAATCACGGAATGTGGAAATCCTTATCAGCCGAAATCGCAAAACAATTTATTGAGTCCTTCGAACAGCTGAAGGGAAAAGCAATGGCAAAAAACAAAACAAAAACCCCGAGGAAAGGCGAAAAGAAAATTCCTAACAAGTGTTTTTCTTTGCCGAGCGAGTGGGAGAGGAAAAGCGTGGCTCGGCGAGAGGGCTTTTTGCGGCCGGGAGAGCCAGGAAAAGCTCAGAACCTCGGCCAGTGGCGAGGCAGCTCAGGAAACGCTTCAGTCGATGTTGAGATTCCTGGCCAGAAACGACAGCGAAAACGGTTTCCCAGGACGAACGCGGCGCGTGCTCTAGAAAAGGAGAGCTGGAAAAACGCCAGCAGCGAAGCGCCAGGAGCGCTGCTGTCACAGTTTCCACCTAAGTCGAAGGAAAACAAGTCAAAAGGCTCGTTCAAGTGGCAGTTGCTTTTTTTGGGCCAAGCCAGTCAGCCAGCTAGCCAGGCCAGTCAGCCAGCCCAGCCATCCAACGTTCGTTCGTGTGTGCCTTTTGTGAAAGTGAGTGTGTGAGTGTGTGTGAGCCATTGTATCTGTGTATCTGTGTGGGCCGTGCGTGTGTGTATCTGTGCATCTGTGTGCGCCTTCGTTTTGTGTATCCGTGCAGCGTTCCGTTTCCGAGCTGCTCCAAATTTATACCCAGCATATTTTTGCACATTTAATTGAATTAAGTAAAGGGCTGAGCCACGGAGAACATTGTCGCCAGTGGCGTCCATTTGGATTCCATTCGGACCGCCTCGCTATCTTTATATAAGAGAAAAAAAGAGCGCACGAGGGCCAGAGAATTGCGTAAAGTTGTGTGCCGTGTGTAAAGGCTGTGCCGTGGGAAAATGACATTAAGTGCTTAAGTAAATTATATAAAATCATTAAACGCCTCGCCGAGCATCCATAACGCGAGCCATTCGAAGCGACAGCTGTGCAGCCTGGAAAAACACTTTTACCCCCTTCGAGCTCCTTCGCCCTTTTGGTACCTTAAAAGATAAACGTATTCGCCAGGCAATTTCCCTTGCCCTGTTTTTCGTGGCGAAATGAAAAATTCAGCTACCACCCCCTTCCTTTCCAGGTTGTCACAACTGTCTGTGGGCCTAGTGGGTGGGGGCGGGCTAGATTTTCGACTACTGTCAAGGTGTGCGCCGACCTCAAGGCCTAGTCACTAACCCTAAAGCCAGCCACAAGCCCACAAAAGCGTGCACACAAGTTCGAACCGACGGAAAGTCATCTTGGCGGGCGTTTTGTTTCCATTTTCAAACGCGCATTTCAACATGCCAGCAAAGCACGGAAAGAAAATCAAATAAATAAATATAAAACAAATAAATTAATTATCGGTGTTCATTCTGTTTTCAGTAAATATGTGCTAAACTTTATTTCAAAGTGTTCTAATATTGGAGCAGCTGAAGGCCAGGAATAATAGCCGCACTGTAAGACATTTAAATACCATAATTTTGTTGTCCAAGAATAGCCTTTAAATTATTAACTGACTCTCTTTGTACATGGTAAAAGGACCTTTTATTATATTTTAGTTACCACTTTGGAGCACCCTATTGCCTTTGGATTACCAATTTGTTTCCGTGTGTCCCAGGTGGCTGGCGATGTTGTATTTGTTGTTCTTGCCGCCGAGCAGGTGTCTGACTGCCTCTGTTTTTGGCGTCACTTTCGCTTTCCTTCTCGCACTGCCCTCGCTCAAGTGCTGTGCTTGACCATAACCACTAAAAATGTCACATTGCGTATACGCCGCGTGGTGTCCTCGACCGAGGTGTTTGTTCGTACGCTTACTGTTCCCTGCTTTTCGCAGTTGTTGTTGTTGTTGCTGGCGTAAGCTCGTTTACTTTTGGCCAGCACGACACCCACACAAAGCTGCTCTCTCTCTCTCTTTGGGGATTCTCTCGTGACAGCTTTCTCCTCTCCGGCCAACTTTCTCTCGTTCAGCTGTTTGTTTTTTGTTTTGAATCGCATTTCTCCTCGAACGGCGGGCGGAATGCGCTGTTTATCCCCGTCGGTCATCGTCATTTGGTCACGTTTTTGTGCCCATCTCCAGCTCCTCAAGGCGCTTATGTCTGGCAATTTAAATTTTATTGTGATTTTTATTCCTGGCAAAAATAAACAGTGCGCGCCGCTTTTCTTAGCGCGCTGCTTTATAGAGCAATTTGGCGCCTAAAAGTATGCCTCGGCACGCCGATAAAAGCGATGTGTCTACATTAGCCTGACGAGACCTCGGGGAGGAAGGGTAGTAGTGGATCATAAAGGACGAAACCCACCAGCAACTTAATATTTAATCCTCCTGGTTGTTTTCTGTCTGAGTCCCTTTGTAGTCATGCCTATTTTATCACAAAGCGAGTCCGTCCGTCCGCCGCATTAAAAGCAAATTTTTCACATTAAATGCCTCATTTGGTGCACAAAAAAAAATAAAACCATAAGCGATTGCAATGAACAAAGCCCCTAGAAAAGGGCCAATAAAAACCCTTTTTTGGAAAACCTTTAGGCTATGGTTAGAATTTAAATATTTTCGAAAATATCTTTTTGTTAATAAGTAATTTAAATAATCTATGTATATCTGAATGAGGAAATATTAAATTTGAGTTACATAAATAAATTAATATAATTCAAACGAAATTCTATTTTAAATTAACAGGCTTAAGGGTGTGGGATTTTGGCACATATCCACTTGTGCCTGGGCACCTAAACAATTGTGTAATATGTCTTGAAGTTCTACAAAAATGTACCTTTTACTATATTTCCACTGATATATTTCATCCGGAATACTTTCTCTGTACCCATTTGTCTCTCTGTAAACGTCTATTGTTCGGTTTCTTTTGGATTTCCTCGAGTTCTGGCAGTTAAGTCAATGCCTTGGCATTCGTCCAATGGCAAGGCAGCCCGAATCCTCGCTTAGCGCCCACCCATTCCGCCATGCGGCCCCCAGGGCTTCCGTTTCCGTTCCGCTGGGTACTTGCAGCATTTTCGGCTGTCTCCTGCCAGACTTCCCCAATGACAAGAAAGCGGGGAGCGGAGGGAAAGCGATGAAATTTCCATATTCCTCGCATTAGCCAACTAGCGGCGGCTGCGCTGCGCTGAGTGACTGCTCATTAAAATGCTATAAGTGTAGGAACAATTTGCATGTTGCACGAGCTTCGAGCTGCAAATAACGAGTCTCGGTCTCGGGAGCTGAATAATTAACACCCCAACAAGACCTGTTGGCAGCTGGTATTTCTCCTCTGTATTTTATTTTCCGCTCAAGAGCGTACAATCAGCGAATTGGCATTCTGGTGGATGAAGTCCAAGTAGTTTCGGATCGCCAGGAAGCTGGACATGATGCGGTTGTCCTCCCAGCGCCAGTCGATCATTATGCCCACCAGATAGTAGTTCTGCGTGACTCGCCTCTTCTTTTGCATTCCCACCAGCGGAGCTCCGATGTAATAAGACTCCGGTTTGGTTTGATATCCACACACTGTGTTGCTGCTGGTCACCAGCGTCTTGACCTTCGATTCGCAGAAGGAACGGCTGAGCGAGTTGAACCAGGTCTTGAGCCGGAGATCCTCCTTGGTTCGCAGACCTGCCACAATGAAGGTCTGGCCCACCAGCGTCTCGTTGACCAAGTGGTGCGGTGGCATGCAAACGGGCATCACATTTGGGTAGATCTTGGCATCCCGCTGCAGGGTGAGCACCGCCAAACTGTTTTTCAGGGTTCGCGAGTCGTACTCCGGATGGATGGCCACCTCGGCCAGCTTGATTTCCTGAGCGGGTCGCACACAGTAGCCGTCCTTTTCGCAAACCGGGACTCCCACCTTTGCGCTTTTGTTGTAGACGCCCAGGTGAACGGAGAAGGCCTCTGCCACTCCATTGTACTGGACAAAACAGTGGGCGGGAGCCAGAACAGAGCGCTTGGATATCAGCACGCCCAAGCAGCCATTATCCCGAATCTTTCCCTCGAACCCTGAAATTCATAATTATTTAAGATGTGTGGTTTTTATGGTTGAAGGTAGTTTTACTTACCATTTCCATATACGATTCGAGCCACCCACTGGTGATCGGTGGGAATGGCAAAGTTGCCCTGCTTGATCATCTGATCCTCGTCGAAGTAACCGCATTCCGAGTCCTCCAACTTTTCTAATTGCACTTCCGAGCCAAAAAGGCCTAGAAGCAGCACGATAATTGCGATTCGTCCAAGCATTCTGAGGCGCAGCTCAAAGTCAACTGACTGTGAGATGGAAAATATGATCAGCACCCGACGAGATTTGATTCATAGGGGGTTTATCCAGAAGCTTTCGATCCGATTGAGAGATTAGTTCCAACACTGGAACAAATATATGGGAAAGAAAACCTGTATATTGTTACAACTCTAATGATACAATCTAAGTGGCATGTAACTTGTTTAATTCCCCAAACGGCATTATTTAAACTAATGATTTGGTGTTAATGACAAAGTATTTGAAAAAGGAAATTCAATAAGGCATTATTTTAACACGATTAATGCTTAAACATTGGATACACAAATTTGTTGTTTATTTTATAGCCATTTAAATATGATTGTTTTTTCACTTCTTTAATAATGATTTCAATAAAATTCCACACTTTATTTCAAAAAATATTTTGATTGAATGTAATATGATATGGAATTAATATTGTGTATCTACATTTACCACTAATATTAATACTTTTAGTTTTAGTATTATGCTTTGGAAAACTATTCCTGGAATAAAATAAGCTTTAAATTAAACCATATAATTTAAAGCTTATTTTATTTACTCATTATTATTCCTGTTTTCGCCGTGTTGATATTTGTTAGATGAAATTTCCAACTAACTCTTCCAAGCTACCTGTTTTTATACGCTTATAATTAATGCTCTATGACAAACGTACGGCGATCGTATGAAAACCCGTTTCCAATGAGGAACCCTGGGCAGTTCCCATCACGATGCATCGATAATTTCCCTGGCCTCACAAAGATTTTACTTCCTCGTCACTGGATTTTATTGATATTTTTCTGATATTCACAAAACACGTTGTATAATCTGCCAACTCAATAGGGTTCTTCCTACTTTGCGTTCTCCGTAATCCAAGAGCGTGCGCGTCTGACATTTTGGTAGACTTGAGTGGTGGCCTGTCCGGCGTCCACACTCCGGACCAGAATGGCCACCAAGTAGAAGCTGTGCGGCTTCTCCCCCCGCACATCGATGTCCATCAGTGCTGTTCCCGGATAGAATTTGGTTCTCTTCACGGGATATCCACACAGTTGGTTTTCAGGGAAAAAGACACTCGATGAGGTGAGCTGCTTGCATTTTGCAGTGGAAACCGTCATGGAAAGACCCTTTCCCTTGTTGTAATCGCCATTATTGAAACCGGAAAAGTGGAGGTTCCGGTTGGTTAGTGATTCCGGCTCGGAAGCGCCCTCCATGCAGATAGGTTGGATCCATTCGGTCCACTCGATGGGCTTCTCCAACCGCAGGATGGCCAAGTCGTTGTCGCCTGTGTCCTTGTCCGATTGCGGGTGCACCTTGATCTCCACCACCTGGTAGAGCACAGGTCCCGGCACGCAGAAGTCCTTCTCGTTGCAGAAGAGCTCCTCATCGGGAGAGGCAGTCTCGTCCCAAACGCCCAGCATTGCCACTGCTTTTGTATCTCCGGATCGCGTCTTAAAGCGCTTCACACACGTGGCAGTGGTGAGGACGTGCAGTTCGTTGATGATGACCACGGAGCATCTTGTGTTCTCTAGTCCGTTTCCTAGAAAGGTATCAATGGGTTCAATAATTAATCAACTTAATTCTAAAATTAAAAGGTGGGAAGTTCGTTTATGGCAACAACAATACTCACCCTGAGACGAAAACAGGATGCCAATCCAGGGATTCTCAGACGGCTCTGTCTTTTCCAGGGTTGTGTACAATAATCTCTCCTCCAGACGACCGCATTGAATCTCAGCCGTTGCTAAGGCTGTAAATAGTGTTGTAGCATATTAAAAACCTAGTAATCTTCTAATGATTCGTTTTGCTTACCTCCCAAACAAGCCACAATAAGCAGCTGAGCAAGTTTTCCGCTCACAAGCAATTCCATGTCGGCGTACTTCAAGTGCTCATGCCTAACTGAAAACAATTCTCAGATAGAAATCATTTGATCCGAGCCAAGTTGCATTAAGTAATGAATTAGTAATTCAAGAATCCGACACTCTCTTACTGACAAAGCCAGAGATTCAGATTCATATAAAACACAAACACAAATTTGTATCTGTCCACAATTCTCATTTAATTAAAGTCAATTCAATGACTGGGACTTGTCGTGCCTTGATTTTTGTTTCAACCAAAACTTTAAAATTAGTAAAATTTTAACTGAAGTCGCCACAAGTCAAATTGAATTTTTTGACAAGAGTAAAAATGAGCATAATTTGTATTCTATAGTTCAGCAGGCAGTATAAATGGCAGATGGATGTTGTCACGAAATACGTCGTGTGATTTGTAATTTCTGCAAATCCATTAGCACTGTTTCCGTGTAAAACAAGTCTCTTACAAGAAAAGTGAAACCCATCAGGATTTTTGGCGTTTTGTAATCAATACCTGTCGGGAATATAAGTTTACCCTAATTTAATATTCTGGTAGGATACAATAAACTTTCCCTTTGACGGCCGCATTGTGAAAATGCAAAAATGGCTACTTAAGATAAGTCCAAACTTAGTTGTTTTTTTATATTTTTAAATTCCACTGCCTGACTTTCAAAGTCGCGTCGCAGATTCCGTATTAATTTTAAGTAACTTGAAGGTGCTCGGAAATCAATAGATTACTATTCCCAATCGCTAAAAATTGCAGGCAATTATCAGGACCTTCATTATATAGCCATTAGGCTTTCGGATTCTCCCCTGGGAGAACGGCAGGGCATTTGCTGTAGCCTGAACTAGGCTGAATAATTAATGTTTCAATTAGAATGCTATTATCGAAGGCAAACACAAGCCGTTCGGCGGGATGCGAAGGTGAAGGACGCCGAAGGACATTGTAACTCATCCGGTAGTGTGGGTGGGCTGGGTTGGACTTAACACTCCACTTAGAATGCTTACAAATTGCCCGGCCAGATCCGGTTGGCAGTTTATTGTCCACTCAACTTGACCTGCTTGAGCTGGGGCGTTCATAATTCGCATTGTTATGAGCCCGGTCCCTCGCCTTCGTGGCTTCGTGGCTTCGTGGCCATCCAATCAATGTGCTCCTGGCTGGGCAGCGACTTTAATGAACGGCCGATTGCCAGACTAACTGGTTGGTTCGCTGGCTAGTTGGTCTGGTGGGGCTGGCTGGTCATTTGGTGGTGCTCGTAAAACTTGGCTGCCCTAGCCTTGAGTTTGGCCTAGGCCAGCTATTCCGCTTTTCCCCTTTTCGCCGGAGGATGGAAGTGGAAATGGAAACCGGGGAGGCCATGCAAATTGCTCAGACCCTGACTGCCAACTACCAACTACCAACAACCAACTAGCAACTAGCAACTGCCAACTGCGTGGGCTTTGGGTGCGCCTTTCGCTTGTAAAGGGTCGAGAAATGGCCTCCCATTTGCGTGTTCCTCAATCTTTAATCGCTGGGAGCACGTGAGCTGAGCAGCCTGATTCTAGACGGCGGGAAAATGTGGGGATGGAAAACGAGGGGATGAAAAATGGCTGCCCGAATCGAACTGAATCATTGATTAGAGCTCTGTTTACCTGAAATTAAAATTTAAGGCTGCTTCAGTTTCAAGAGGAGGTATCACACCTTTAAGTGTAGGCGGATTTTTAAGTTAAAGGCTTAAGTGATGAGATTTTGCAGATGGAAAAGTTTTGCATTTTCCAAACTGTATTAAAATATTATCCTTATACCATATGGGGCTGGTATGCAACATTATATTCATTTATAATATTTTTGGTAAAAACGGTAAAGAGCATTTATTGGCACAAACGGAAACAACGTTAATTTGGTTAGGGAAAATTGTATTATTACGTAGCATAAAAACTTTATATTCAATCAGAAATAAATACAGTATTATATATTAATCATTAAGATTATAAGGGCTTATGAAATTATTTATAGGGCACCCAAAAATATTATTTCAGAGCATATACAAAATGCGTACAAGTCCTTTGGTAAAAACTGATAAGAAAACCCAAAAAAGTATGCAATAAGTTTGTGTGCAGAATTAGACCCTTAAGATTTATTTCCTTTATACGAGACTTATAGACAATTTCACTTATTTTTTTCAGAATCGGACCACTATGAGCGACAGAGGAGGCCGGTAATGATGAGAGCATGACGCGCGACGGCGAAATTCCAGCCATTTTCAATCCGAAACGGGTGCGCACTCCCTCCGTGGTGGTCACCGGCGACTCCTCGACGAATGGCCCGTACAACAGCAACAACTCCGGCGGAGGCGGCGGTGCGGGAGCCAGCAGCAGCTCGGCCATCGCTCCCGGATCGTCGGCCCAGAATGGCAGTGGCGGCGGCGGGGCGGCGGGCAGCTGCGGCTTCAGCAACGTGCTCACCTCGAGCAACCCGCAAATAACCCACCAAGACTCGATCTCGTCGAGCCAGCAGGACCCCAACGAGGTGATCATCATCCCGGCGGACACGCCCACCAGTGCTCCGGGTAGCCACAATACGGGTCACCACTTCGGCGGGGGCGACTCCAGCGACACGCAGACGGAGCAGCAGCAGGCCAATGGACACGGGGAGGAGCCGGAGCTGCGCTTCCGCAAGCTGCAGGCCTGCAAGGAGTCCTGCTGCTCCGAACTGGCCAGAAAGGTAAGGCCAGCTAACAAAGTACATGTCTATTTAAAAGAAACAAATTATTATAGCAAACAAATAAATAAACCATAAAAAATCACAAAATCATACATTCCTTATAAACAATATTGTATCCTTCACAATAAATAATTACTTGCTATTTCATAAACTTTTTAAATATTTCTTGCCGAAAAGTGGCTCCCAACATTTTCGACAAACGAGTTTTGCGACCTTAATAATTCTCCTAAAAAGATTTGTTTGGTTAATTGATTCCACATTAATTTTTCCAAAAATCATTGAATATTAATTCAATTGTAACTTATATATTTTAACGAAATCGGGGAATATTTGAACTAATTGAAAGAACATTAGAATTATCTCCGTTTCTCTTGTTCATTAAAACTCTTAATATCCTCAAAATAAAAAATTTCGGTCATATTTTTATGGAAATATATACAATCCTTTCTTGGTCCAATAATTTTAAGCAAAATGGCTTCTGCATATATTTATTATCGTGTTACGCAGAAATATCTTCACCATTTATACCTAAAACTTGTATGCAGTATATATTAGCACACGCAAATTGAACTCCTAAACTAACAGCTAAAATAATAGTTTTCTTTATTTTTAATTTACTGGAAATAAATGCTAACCTTGCCATACTCAAACTGCATTCCAGATGTACTTCGGCGTGTGCGTGACCATCCTGATGACCGCCTCGTGGGTGGGGGCCACCCACTGCATCAAGTACATGTACAAGTACCGAGCGCCGTACGACGACTTGCTGAACGACGACCAGGACACGTCCTCGAGCCGCGCGGATCTGAGCACGGAGCTGGAGGACATACTGGCCATCAGCGACTCGTCGCTGCACCACGTCGAGGACGCCACCGAGATGTTCAACATACCACCGCGCCAGCCCGTCTACTTCAGCGCCCCCTTCTTCGCCGCCTGGTTCTTCACCAACTTCTCGCTGCTCTTCTTTCCCATCTACATCCTGGGCTTGGTGTCCACGCGCAAGTGCGAGAAGCTGAGCGACATCCTGGGCGATGTGGTGCGGGGATTCCGGGAGCGCGGCTTCACAGTGGGTGAGTTGGACGATGGCTTCACCCCTTTGGAGATCTTATCCACTTTGCTTTCGATCCACAGGCCGCTTCCTCAATCGCTGCCTCTGCTTCTGCATTTTGTGGCTGGTCACCACCTACCTGTACACCCTCTCCCTGCACGTCCTCTACGCCACGGATGCATTGGCCCTGTTTGCCACCAACGTGGCCTGCGTTTACCTGTTATCCTGGGTGATCCTGCACGAGCAGTTCGTGGGCGTGAGAGTAAGTGAAGATAATAAATACAAAGGCAAAGGAATCATGTTTTCCTTAGGTTTTTGGAAATCGAACTTCACACCAGATTTTCGGATAAATGTGCATTAAATATTTATTTTTTAACAAGCAGAGCTTATGCATTTGCATTTACATAATTTAGTAATAAGAAAAAAGGAAACAAAATTCTGTCTAAGTCTGGGAGCATTAAGAGCTTAAAACGATGCATACATCAAGAACGATTCAAAAAAATATAGATTGAACAATAGTAAACGATTATTTAATTAAAATCTACCGCAGCTCAAAACTGTTTTCTATAAATCATCCAAAGCTCTATATTTTCTAAAAGCAAGCTCCTGCTCCTTTTCCCCCTCGATAATTCTAACGTATGTGGCAATGGCTCTACTGTCCAGCATTTTCATGGGCTTGCCGTGCTCCATGATGGCCACCTCCAGTTTGTTCTGGCCCGACTGGGCTTCTAGGAGTGCTCGGATGGCCAGTTTTACGGCTCCGCATTCCGAGCTAACTTTCTCCTGGCAAAAGGTCTTCTCTAAGAACTCGCGCACTGTATTCGAAGACCGGCCAGTGGCGCTTGCCACGTACTCATAAAGAATTCCTGATGGTTCGGTCTGAAAGAGATGAGCAGATCCATTGGCATCGAATCCTCCGATTAGACATGATAACCCGAAGGGTCGACGACCGTTGCTCTGCGTGTACTTCTGCTTCAGCTGGGCAATGTACTTGGAGATGTACTCCAGGGTCACCGGGTTCTCGAAGTTGAGCCTGTGGCTCTGACATTCGACCTGAGCGCGATTAATCAGGATTCGAGCATCGGCAGTTAAACCTGCGAATGCCAACACCGCGTGATGGTCGAGCATGGAAATCTTACGCACCGTTCGATCCTCCTGCAACTTGGCCACCGAGTTCTTCTCCACAGCGAGGACCACAACGTTGGCTCCCCGAACCCCAACCGCAGTCGCTCCCTTTCGAACCGCTTCCTGGGCGTACTCCACCTGCAACAGGTGTCCGTCCGGCGAGAATATGGTGACAGCTCGATCGTAGCTGGAAGACATCTTACTGGTTGGGTAAATGGCAGAATATTTTATAAACAACAAGTGATTATAAAATCCTGGGGATTGAAAGTTTGATGGCTTGTATGAGCTATTGAGTATTTAGAATATATAATTATTATGATTATATATACCTACATTTTTAAAAAAATTTTCCGTACTCTAACCATTTTTTAAAAATACCTACAATAGCAGTTTAACATATAAAAAAGAACTTTTTGATTATTTCTTTCCTCCTTAAAAACAATACAAAACTTTCAGGGTGTATTTTTAGCAATTCTTTAGCCAGAAACCTTTTTGATGAACCTACAGAGTATTTTTAATAAACAGCTTTTAAGAAAATGCATTCAAATTCCTACAACATAGAACTTCCTATACTGTAAATGAAACCCCAATGAAAATGGCAATTAAATTACCGACTTATTTCAGATCGTGGCCATCATACTCTGCGACACGGGAATCGCGCTGCTCGCCTACATGGACGGAATCACGGAAAGCCGAACCCTGAGCGGCGTGGTGCTGGCCACTTTGGCCGGAGCTGGGTATGCCGTGTTCAGGGTGAGTAACCCATCGAACTGGGTGTCCCGGTTTTCCTTTATTCTGTTTTCGGTTTTCCCGGTTCGTGTGCGGGCCATATCGTGCTCATGAGCTCATGTTGGCCTGTCGCTTCACAGGTTATGTTCCGCAAGGTGATGGGCGATCCGCCGGTGAGCCAAATCGCCTTCATATTCACCGCCCTCGGCTTCCTCAACGCCCTGCTGCTGTGGCCCGTGGTGCTGGGCCTCTACCTGACTGGCACGGAGAGCCTCACGTCGGAGAGCATACCCTGGAACCTCCTGTTCGCGGCGAGCCTCCTGCTCCTCGGTAGGAACACCTCCATCTTCTCCTCCTTTTCCCCCTTCTCCAACGCCTTTGTTGTGCCATAAACTTTTATCGGTGTAATTAATTTTGATTGCAGTTTTCCACGTTCTGATGCAGTTCAGTGCCGCCGTTACGTACAACATGTTTGTGACATTGGGTCTGATTACCGCTGTGCCCGTTTCTGGTGGTATGTACACAGGCCATCGTTCTCATCATGACTTCCAGCATGGGGTTGGGTTCGGGGTTGGGATTGGTGTTACTTTGGGGTCCTGGGTTAGCCTCTTTTCGCTTGAAGGATTCCGTGACTATAAATTGTTTTAAATTGTAACATAAAAACCGGGCACTCACGTGGGGCACGTAAGACCGCTTGATCTTTGTTTTGTTGTGGGGCATTGCGACATAAATTCAAACATTCCCTTAGACCGACATTGTTTGTTAAGAAAAAGTAAAGGAAATTAAATTAATGATTAGAGGAAAAGAATGGGGAATATGTTCCAAAAAAAACCACTAAAATTAGATCAATGTTGGTAAATATAAATTGAATTTCAGGTATATTAAGAAACTAATTAGAGGATCCAAAATTACAATAGTTGGGCAGTTTAATTAGTTTGTCATTTAATATTCATGTTGGCTTCTCGTTTAATTTCCATTTTTACACTTGCTGAAAAAATGTTGTGAACTCTGCTCTTGAAAATACCGTTACAAAATGCTAATTAAATTCTTATTCGATTTATTAGCCCTTGATGTCATACTGTACAGTGCGAACTTTGCGGGCATGAAGCTGGCCGGAGTCATTCTGATTGGCATTGGATTTTTCCTCGTTATGTTCCCCGCCAACTGGCCAGACTATATAACGCGATTGTTGCGGTAAGTGGGAAATATTTCTCATATTTAGTCATATTGCTAAAAATAATTGTTATGCAATTAATATGCTAATTTTCTTTGTCAGAGTAAAAGACTCGTGCGTGTTTGTTTCAAATATTTTACGGCTTTAGTTTATTTCGGTTGTGTTTTATTTTGGGTTGTTTCTTCAAAGTTATTTTATTTTGATGTTGCTACTCAGTGGCACTAAAGACTAAAAAGCAAACGTAAAAATAAATCATCGAAAAAAATTAAAATTTCTACTCATGTTTAGTTCGATAAAACGCTGTTAATTTCCTGTATACTCACATAAACTATATATTTAATTTTATATAAACAAACATCTTGCAGAAAGAGCGTTCGTGCCATACTCCGCTACCAATGTTGTTGTGAATTAGCCGAAATTCGCTATGCTCATTCGGTAGGCCAAAAACACAAGCTAAGCCAAAAACCCAAAACCAAAAACAATACCAAACCCCTGATTTAAGACACCATATATAGATATAAATTAGAACCGTAGGCATCCCGAGATTTGTGTTTACCGATAACGAACCTTCCAACTCAACTTTTAACTTTGAACTTTGACCTTTGATAATGCTAATGATATGTAACAGAAACTTGGCAGATTTTTTACTGAATACAACAACAAAAAACTTCTATGCTATCTATAGGTATATATTGAACACCCATATATCCCACAGCAAAACTACAACACTTTGGCTTCCAACTTTGCGCTCACCCTTGTTGAAAGAAAAATATTTAGACATGTGTATCTAACTGTTACTCTATATAACATATACCTGCCTTTATGTACACCCAATTAACTATATACCGAAATATACCTCCACACACATTTTACGAACATATATCTATATATCGTTACCGTTAATAAAGCCGTTTTACCGACACTACTACTTCGGCTGTTGTGCAATTGGTTGACAATCCCATCTCGTTGTTGTTCTTAACGTTTTTTTTGGCGCTGCCGTTACCATAAATGTACTTATACTTATTGATGTTGATACTTTGATTATTTCGTTTCGTTTCGGCATATCAGCAACCCCCCTTTTTTACCCACCCACCATTTCAGAGATAGTGGAGAGACCCAACCGATCTCGGTGCCAATCTTTTGTTTTGCCCACTTGTGTAAGATATATCCTTGTATCTGGATGTTGGTTGCTGGTGCCGAGGTTCTTTAACTGTAGAGGTTCCCACACCCGAACAACACACACCCACCCACACACCTTGAAACACCCACACACCCACCTCAAAGTATGTAGTTTGAGTTTCGCTGGTGTTGCGAAAGTTTCCATTTCAAGATCCACGCAGAACTCCAAGAATATGGATGCTGGTGACTATGATAATGACGATTTGTTTGGCTGTTGTTGTTGTGTGACCTCTTCTGAATTGCAGCTTATTGTAATTGGGTTGAATCCGTTGACTTGGCCAGAACCTGTTTGTGTAAATAAATTTTGATTTATTGTTTCCTTCCTGTGTTACCCAAACTGTCTGCACTTAGAGAGGAGAGCGCAAGTTACCATAGATGTTTGCAGATGTTTGACCGCAGCATGAACGAATTTACCGAACCGGGGTCCGAGAGTCCCCATTATCCATTATCATTTCTAAAAATACATTGCCAGGATGACCAGAGAAACCGAATAAAAACAAAGCCCGACCTTTAAAAACAATTAAACCCCAAAAATAAAGATATACATTAAAATGCATTCAAATTGTTACTGATTGGCATGATTGAACCGAACTTCGTTCTTCGTTTCTCTTCGTTTTTCGTTTCGAATTGAGCGTTTTTCGTTTTCCAATCTGATCTACTCTTGAGTTACGCCTTTATTTCTGTGCGATCTGTCTGTCTAACTTTAAATTCTTCAAGCTCTACTCTATGCTATATACTCTACCTACTTCTATATATATAAAAAACGTGTCGACATTTCTCAATTGTCTTTTTGCAGAAGCATCATAATGCTGGGTCACAATGCGAGGTGAGTTTCGAGATTAGGCTGTGCTGTGAGAAATGAATGTGTTTTTTACAACCTAAGCATAAACAACACGGTGCCCGAAATCTGAAAGAAGGGTTTTTCGTTATTATACTCGTACGCCACTTAGGAATACCTTACTCTAAATACCCAGCCCATACGAGACAAGCAATCAACAATCAAACTAACTAATATATTTATCCAAATCCAACTGTAAGCGAAGTATGTTTTTTTCATTCGATTTCGTTATGATCCTTATTCAACTCTTGCCTAGACTTTTGATAATTCGGGTTTGATTTGGTTTCGTTTGGTTTATGAGGGATTGCAACTGGTTCTCCTAACCTAACCTCTCGCATCTAAGTTATGATTTCCATATCCTTCTTTCGTAAGCTAATCCGAGTAACAGTAATGATAGTCTTTGGTAAATGAGTACAGTACGTCCGAGTAGTCTCGCTCCGCCAGATTTCGGTTAACTATTCTTTTGGCCCCAGTGCTAAGGTAAGTCGATCCGAGGGTCCTGCAATGCCCACTGCCAGCTAAACTCACCTCACATAAAGGGTATCGATCCGATGCCGAACGACAGACTCACCCAATCACCTAAAACCACCCACCCACCCACTTTCGGAGTCACCGGAGTAGCAATGCAATGATCATGATCTTCCGTTGTGCAGTTTCTTGTAAAATATTCTTTTGAGGCCATCTGAAATCAAATGCTGGTGGTAAATGGTACAGGGACGGCTTTGTAGAAAGTTTGTCTAATGGATAGAAGACCTTTTTACAGACTTACTACCAATATGTTGTCTCTGCATCTCTTACCACAAGTTAGAAACGAGCAGCTCTCTAGAAGTAGAATCTCCTGATTTGTATATAGTAACACCGCTAATCTGTACTATTGCTTCTTTTCTCTTGTTTTTCTTCTTCACCTCTGCCACAACCTGCCTATCTCTCTTTCTCTCTCTCTCTCTCTGTTTCTCTGGACTATCTCCTCTTCTCGAACTATTCTCTCTCTCTTTCTTCACACACAAACACCTACACGTACACACACCACTGAACGGGAACTGGCCAAATTGAATGACTTCCATTGCAAAATACACCGCAAAAATAATTGAACATGATTAAACACGATTGAACACGATCGAACGTGATCGAACATGACCACACATTTAAACCATGTAGCGGTAGGCCAGCGCTTTGTAAACGAGATGCTATAGTCACGGGACCGTCCACCAGATATGCGCAGCGGCACATCACGCGCACGCACCACATAAGCTAAGAGTTTTGGAACAGGTCACTGAATTGTACAGAAAACCAAGAACAGAACAAGACAAGATATATTTTGTAAAAAGATTTTCCAAAAGCAAAAACGTAACAAAAACCAAAGAAAAACTCTGAAACTCAATTGCACCACTTGCCACTGAATGGGGTAAGTACGAAACTTGAATAATTTCCTAGCGTTAAGATTGGACGAGGTACAGTTGCCACTCGTAGAACTAGTCCTACCATACCGGGCATCACATCTTGATTTTTGTACTGTTATCCTTTTTTGACTTCCCTTTGCGTTCTCTTTCTATCTCCCCTATCTGTCTCGCTCTCTGTTTATTCTGGACTCTTTTTGGATTTTCGACTGACAGATCGCAGCATATATATGCCACCCATTACAAACACAATCGAAAGTATTATGCGGTCAAAACCGAATCATATGTTGTTTGAGCCAATCGCATGAATGAAACCAAAAAAACAAAACAAAAAGGCGTGTGGCTTTCGACTGTTTTTGCTTAGGCCCCCGGCCACTGCCACGCCCACGCATCCTCCCCCGAAAACCCAAAAGTTTTTACAACTGTTATGCGACTGTTAAGAACACTTTTGTACCAAACTACGTTAAGTAAGATTCAAGTTTCCGACTGAGAAACTCAAACGAACGAACGGTGAGAGTTTCAAGCTATTTATTTTTGATCAGCTCCTAGAGTCACTAGTCTCACCTCAAAATCCTCCCATGTCCAGCTCACCGAATCACCCTCTCTATATATTTAAAGTTTTCGAAATCTTTAAGTTCCGTTTGCTTTGTAATGTTTGCAGCTTGCCTATGTTGTTGAGAAGTATCTTTGCTATTCAAGCTACTTATGAACTTTGGAGAGCACAGCTTAATGTAACTATTTGTGGCACCCGTAACTTGAATACCCCGCTTAAGCCCCAAAACACTCCCCACACACAAACAAACACACACACCCAACACTCCAACAACAAACCAAACACACACAATTTGTATATAACAAACACCGAACATCAGTAAAAAATCAGTAAAAAGTCTTAGCGCTTAGGCTATTGTAACTGGGCACTGCAGAAATGGGGAACCCCATTTTGTGGGGAAATCCTATTGCCTGCAGAGCCTGGTCCAAAAAGATATAGTCATGCAAGCGCTTACTCTGTGTAAATGTGAGTGTATGTAGCGCCTTAGAGTTGAACACCCGAGAAATGCCTAGAAAGTAAATCAGAAACAGAAGATAACTCTAACCAGTTAGCTAGTACGGCCAATAACTAACATGCAACACTTTGTTCTTACCACACGAAACCACAAAAAAAAAAAAATCTCAAATTCCCGAACACAAAATCTAGATGGGGTCGCGGCCCTCGGAGCGGTACTTCAACAGGTCAGCATCCCACCATTATCGACTATCGGACGGGATACATAAGGTCCCATCTTCGTTCACCCTCTGGCCGTGTGAGATGACTGATCTGTCGCCGACCACCACTGGGTTTCTACATGGCCACGGCGGCGCCAACGCACAGCATCACCAGCAACTTTTGCATCAGCATCAGCATCAGCAGCACCACCACCACCAGCAGCACCACCCGAATCAGACCCACCAGCAGCACCTCCAGCAGCAGTTCCACCACCGGCAGCACTCGCTCCACACGCAGCACCTGCAGCGGCAGCACTCGCACACCTCGCTGACCAAGATCCACCGCCAGAGCAGCAGCCACAGTGTCCACGGCGGAGGAGGTGGCGGTGGCCGGAGCAGCTCGGAGCACCACCGGACCACCCAGGGAGCCACCGGCCGACTGTTCTCCTACTTCGGCAACGAGCAGGAGCACGAGCGCAAGAAGTCGGAGACGTCGTTCTTCAACCTCGGCTTCCGCCGCAAATCCACCGTGGTCTACTACGCTCCGGCGGATTGAGGTGGTCCTGGATCAGGCATATCAAAACCATTTCAGCAGAGGATACAATCAGATTTAGAGGGTTATACTTTGTGTGTCATTATACCATAATTCTTATTGTCGTTGTTGTTGATGTAAAAGTTCGATCGGATCGCATGCAGTTACAATTTTGCTCAAATATAACACATTTAAAGGCTACAGTTACAGAAACAGAATCAGAATCAGAATCGGAAACACCGCACGGGGATTAGCTCCAGTGAAGCATCAATAAGTCCCTGCCACGCCTCTAATCTCAATTTCAGCCTCCAGTTACAGAAACCCAAGAACAGAGCCCGCGAATCGAGCTCAAAAGTGCCCCGAAAGTTAACTATATACGGTTATAATTTAATACTCATAACTATTACGAAATTGTGTAAGGAATCGAAGCCAATTGTTTTAGCAATTATATACATTAATTATAATGGCAATGAATAGTCAAATATTTTAAAGTGAATTCACTCAAAGGCACACCTTAAAAAGGGAAGGATAACGAACAAGAAGCCCAAGTTACTTAAGGAAAATAGTTTATAGACGTCACCCAACCAATTCGAGGTTCACCCGGCTAAGAAACCCATTAATCTGTAAGCTCATCTAGCCACTAGATCCAAGCGGTTTTTCATTTACACTCAACGTTAACTGTGGATTGGGTTTTTGTTAAAGCTTTTTATTTGAACGTGAACTGAATGTGAGCCGAGAAAAAACGAATCGAAGTATTAGTATTTTTTAAATGTTATGTGTTGTTCGTAATTTGTAATTCGAAGTGTTGTAGAGTCGAAATGAATCAACGAGGATACTGTTGTATTAACCCGACTGCCTCTGAAAGATCAGGTTATCCCCCAGTTGGATCTCTCGGATCAGAGCTGTCGCATGTTATATGAACTAAGTTGTGTAGCCACATCCAATAATTGATTTGTGATAGTTTTTAAAATGTTTGATAACCAACTGCATACACTACATACTTTTACCTACCCGCCCCCAAAAGAGAGGCAATGGTATAGCTGGGATGTATTTAGAACACACGAAACCGAACACGAAATAAATAGTTAAAACTGAAAACTGAACAATCATGCTGTCATTTTTACATTGAATAGCAGCTCTGGGCTTTTGCTCCAGCAGGCTCTGGGTAACCTTTAATATGTCGAGACGAACTGTCAACGTTAGAAGAGGATGAAATTTTCTCAGTAATAAAACATCAACCGTTCTGATTAAATCCCCCTCCTAAAATTTGTTAAAATTCTAAAAGGATCAAAAAATAAATCATAGTCCAAATTAGAAATTACTCTTAGTATTTCGTGGATAGAAAGCCGATTGTGATCTGTTCGAGAGCGGAAAGCCAACTCAAATCGAGCCGAGCAGTCGAGTTATCGCGCAAATATATAAGATAAAGAAAATCGGAGGAGAATTCGCGGCGCTCGGCGACTAGACGAGCGGCGTGAATTTAATTTGGTGTTCCAAGACCTTTTGTATTTTGTTTTTGTTCTCGAAATATCCCATATTGTGATATCATTTCGCACTTTTATAAATCCGAAAAATTCAATCTTTGGATTTTGATTTTTGATTCGTGCCCTTCGACCGTAATACGTTAAAATTGAATAGCGTGACGAAAATTCATATCTTGAGCACAACTAAAATCGGAAGCACCAGAAAATTCGGCTAACGTTGGGGACTCTTGAATGCAAAATGAATAAGTTTGGTAAGTCCTTTTGTTTTACTACAAAATCATATATTTGAACATAGTGTATATGCATTGCTTTAGAGTTAATTCACTTAAATGCTAAACATTAGGCTACAAAAGAAAGTTGAAAGGTTCTGTTTTTTTGTCAAGGCACTTAACACTAGGATGATATTACAGTACAGACTACTAATTGGACGGACGTTCGATATAGTCTGTTGCATTACAAATATTCGAGAAAGAACACTTAATTCAGTTTAAGGCACAATTTACACTTTTGATTGCTTTTTACTTTGTACTGGTCTTCAAATCTATTGTGGAATGTCAGGGGGACAAGACGCCCAAAAACAAAACCGAAAACCGAAAACCAAAACCAAAAGCGGACACGGCCAGCCACTCGAACGTGTTTCCGCAGACGTGGTCATTTTTCCAAACGGAGCTGGAGATGGAAATGGAGGAGTTGCCCGAATCCTGAGACAGTTACTGCCCACCGCTGCTGCCCTGAAATGACTATGAAAAATGTGTGAAAAAGATTTTTTGTGCCCCCTGTCCAGCTACCTATGGCTATAAAGTTCTTAATGAAAAAAGCTGGAGAGATTTCTTTTTTGCCCTGGTAGGAGACCAAGTGGCTGATAAACTGGTTCCTGCGGCGCATAGAAAAAGTTCTCAGGGTACAGATAATAAAAATTCAAGCGCGTATGATAATCAAGGCGCAAAAAACAAAAAGCGGAAAAAACGCCACAGCGGCAGCGGCAGCGGCATCATCGGCATATATGCACACGGATATATAAATTTAATTCAGGCAAAAAATCGCAGCCAACGGACCATCGACGATTTAATATAAGAAAAACACGGTGGCAGGCGTTGGATTTTTTGTTGTGCCATCCGTTGGCAGGAAAAAAGGTGTGCGTGCGGCACAAACAACCCTCAGCTCAGCGCAGCTCTTGGACCTGGACGACCTCCCCGATGGGTGTAGGTACGACCGGGCCTAACTGGGTTCCGATGTTAACAGGTTTGCGATCGCCGCACACACGCACACACTCGCACACAGCTGTGCGACTTCACGGACATTAGGAGAGGATCTCCGAAGGAGAAAAAGACGATCTGCACGGCATTTCCGTAATCTGAGCGCAGTAGGCGCGGCTGTTTGCGCTTTTCTGCCGACGCTGTCGCTTCGGTTGCCGCTGCTGCTGCTGCTGCTTCTGCTTGAACCGCCTTTGATAGAAATGACAAATAACCAGATTCATTGTAATAGATTATGTCTACAACTTAATCGCCTTGCAGATAAATGATGACAATGTTCAAGGGAGCAACGGCGGAGAGCTGGGCTGGCAGCTCGTTTTGTTTTTGGGTGTCAATTTTGTGTCTGTGTTGCTTTGTAGTAAGATCTTTTGTGGAGGGATTTGATGTGAGTTTCGTTTGGACGGAAGTTTGTGTTAGTTATTTGGCGTGCGGCTGCTTAACTAAATCTGTACAGCAGTGTGAGCGTGAGCCCGATCAGCGAGACCACAAGTCCCAGAGCAGATTGCAGACCCGAGGCTCCGGCCAAGCGGCACTTGAACATGTCGTAGCGGGTCTCGGCATCATTCACGATATTCTGATACTCGGCCTCCACGAGCTGGCCGTCGTAGTAGGTGATCAGATCCTCGAAGGGATACTCAAAGCCCTGCAGGCACTCGCACTTGTAGCCTCCGGTTTCGTAGCCACGACCCATGATGGGAACGCACTGCAAGGAAATACAATTATGTTTGAAATTTAAAGATTGTAAAGAACCAGATTGTTTCTTGCAAAGCCCCACAATCGTTTACTCACGTAGGACGTCTGCTCGTCGCACTTGTGCGTATTCTTGAAAGCATTCGGTTCGTAGTACCAGTCCGGGCACTGGTTGATGTCCAGCTGCATCATGTCCATGGATACGGCCACCACTCCCCTGCGCAGAGCAAACAAATTAGTCAGTTTAATTGCTACCATTTGCATCACAATAACAGAAGTCACAAGTCAAAAGTTAGGTCTTGTCAACACTCCAAAATTAGACAATCAAACCGAGGCATTTGCATTTGAAAGGAACTGGGATACAAATCGAAATTGGGACTGTGCCCTAAAAGGGGTTTGAGCGGCCCGCGACGGCGGCACGCAGCGGACCGGCCCAACAAGTCGGGCAAACCAACCCCAACCTCAACCCCTGTGCCGCATTGTGCCCGCTACTCACTTGAATTCCAGCTTGACTTTGAGGCTGTCCCAGCCGAAGAAGGGCACCGCGTATGTCACCAGCCACTTCTTCACGTATCCGTCGCAGTCGAACTGCGGCTGAGTCCAGTAGCCGTGCTTGATGTTGGCCGCCCTGTACGAGTTGGGGTAGTGCTCGTACTTCTGCTGGTATTCACCTGTCTCGTTGTGCCGGATCTTGATCTTCATGTAGAAGGTCTCCAGGTCGTCGAAGTTGGTGTTCCAGCGCTGCTTGAGGAACTTGAAGTACTTCTTCTCCGTGTAGATCTCATGCGTCTTGTTCAGCCGCGCCAGGTCCTCCACCTTGAACTTCCGCGTGTTGAGCTCCGTCTTGTAGGCATAGGGTGCGAAGTAGGTGCGGTTGGTGAACTTGTTGCGCTCCCAGAGCATTGTGGCCGACCAAACCTTGCTGTCGCCCAGGACAATGGCCAGGGTCTCGCCGATCATTTGGTCCTCGGTCAGCGGCTTGTCGGCCACACGTTTGCCCGAGTACACTTCGTTGGGATCCGAAACCTGCAAAGGGAAGAATCGAGTTTTAGTTTCGAGCATATTTGTTGGGGAACATTTTCGGTGTTTTGGGCAGCTTTGGGAAGAGTTTCCCCCGCCGCTTTTCAATGCTAACAACTTGTGCAAATATGGACACAGAGCGAGCTGAAAGAAGACGCTCATCCCCACGATTTCCCTGGGTTCTCGATGCCGCTGCTGCGGCTGGCATTTAATGAAGACGACGCCTTGTGGCGAACCCGTTTTTCGTGTCCTCTGCGCTCAAACTAATGAATTTAGCATTTGGTAATGGTTTGACACTGAATATTTAATTCACGCCATGCGGCTGGCAACGCAGAATTGCAAATCCACAGCGAGAGCAGCATCGGCAGCATCAGCGGTAAAAACCGAGAAACTGGCATTGCAGGAAATTCGAGGAAGTTGAATTACGCGTGGAAAATTATAATTTACACTTGAGAAGTTTTCAAGAGCCGTCGTCGAAGGCTCTTAATAGGTGTCGGGTTATCAATTATTGCTCTTCATTTAGCGTGAAGGCGAGCAGCGGCGATGGGAACCGTTTGCTTACCTGCAGGAAGGCGCTAATAAAGTTGGCCAGTCGCACGGCCATCTTGGCTTCGTTCTCGAACTGCTCCTTGGCGCCGAAGCTGACGTCGCCGCGCAGAATTAGATCCTGCGGATGGAAGCTGTCAAGGGGAGAGCATAATTGATCAGCACAATATAGTAACCTTATTAGAAAACTAATATTTAGCTTACTTTTTGCAAGTGCGATAGTTTACTCCGTGTATGTACTTCAGCGCCTGATCAATATTTATACGCTCTGCATGAAGAGACCTTGAGCCGGTGGTGTAATTGCGATATTCCGGGTGGCGGTCCAAATACTTTTGGCGTATGTAGTAGGGGGCCTTCTCCCACTGAATGGGCAGCTTTTGGATCCCTAAAATGAGAATAAATTATAAACTTAACGTATAAAAAAACCTGAAATTGAACCTACAGCCGATTGCAAGGCAATCATATTCGTTGTAGTACTGCTCTGCCGAGGCCCGCTCAACAATCTCGCCGAGATAGGGTCGCCGCACCACGTTGGGCAGTCGGAAGCCTGGTTTACAACGGCATTGGTAGCCACCGCGCCTAAAGCCCCAACCATGAAGAGGTTCGCATTCGGTAGTTTCCTTTTTACAACGCGCGGTGTCTGCAAAGTGGTTCGGTCCCTTGTTGCCTTGACCTAGAGGACATTGGTTGATGTCTATACGCTCAAAGTCCATCTCAAGCACGGAAACAGCAGTGTATCTAAGAAATATTAAGTGGTTAAGTCCAGAAAATACGTAGGTTTCCATAAAAATACTTACTTGGGGTACTCAATATGTCGGAACTGGGTGTGTCGAGGGTAAATATCCGCAATGGGCACCACGGCCGCCACCAGCCACTTGTTGGATCTGCCACAATCGAAGTACGGCCTGGTGAACTTGATGGGGCCGGGATTTTCTTCAGAGCCAGGCGGTCCGTGGAACGTGTACGTTTCATTGGTATTGTTTGCATAGCGAATCTCCACCTGGTATGTGATCTTTGTATCGTGTCGTCCCTCCACGTTGTCCGGTAACCATGCGCGGTACCATTCGTTGATCTTGTACAGGTCGTGGGTGTAGTCCTTCGATATTGAGTCCGGATGATGGGCTCCCAAATCCTG